ATCCCAATTTTGCAAAATTCTAGAATTCTATTGCCCTCTGCTGGTTTAGTGTACCTGTCTGTGATTTGGTAGCGCTGAATTATAAGTGAATTGGCCTTTCTTTTATTTTTCATGGTAGAATAATAGTAGATAAACAGTGTAATGAACTGCTTTGCTACTCACACTTTTAAGTATTTTAAAATATATATCAATCCTGAGTCTAATTTTGGTGGCTTTCTGAAGGTAGGACAGGTGGCAATTGAATAGGAAGCTATTCTTTGCGTTCAGCAGCAACCTCTTTCTCATATCTTTTCCTTCCTTTTCTCACCAAAAATATCCAAACCAATAACCCAGGATATAAGTTGGAGACAGAAATCCAGTAAGTAATTCTAAAGTAAACTGGATTTCTCTAAAAAATAGAGTACTGTTGAGTTTGCCCCTTTGTTTCCATAGCCAAGAGACATGCAGCAAAGTCCTGTGAGAAAAGAGCAGTCTCAGATATATTTATATTCTGTATTTTACTCTTTTTGTTTTGTAACTCTTTCCAACTTCACAATCAATAACTGGATCCTTTGCCTTGTTAGAATAAATTTGCTTTCTTCTTTAAGCTTTTGTGGTGTAAAGTATAATGACTTTGATGAGTGATCAGCACAAAGCATGCTTTTCTTTTCCAGAAACAAGCAATCTAAATAATATAATGTCATAGAGAAGCTCTTTGGGGACCTGCACCTCACAGTAAGTTTGGGAGTCTTGGAGTTGGTGCACATTTTTTGCTGACCCACAGTAAAAGTATCATTTTCAGAATCAGAAGTATCCAGTGGCAGGAAACAGAGAAAAAATTCTAGGCAGGTATTATCCAGTGCCACTCAGTAAGGTGGAAATAATGGAAAGATAATTCCTGAATTCAGGAAGTTGCATATAGTCCCAAATCTACCTTGTGTTTTCACAAACTGTAGAATGTAGTTCATGATTTTGATATGGATAATGTCTGTTTCATATGTAATTTGGGAGGGGAGTGTTTGGGGTTTTTTAAGTGCCTTTAGTCTATTGAAAGAACTCAGTGTCCTTTGCGGAAGTTAACTCATTTTCTGCTGGTTATTACAGTTTATACCTCAATGCTCATTTAAGCTATCATACAGACAGCTTTAGAATAAGACTTTATCAGTTCAGAACTATTTTTATTATTTTCTTCTGGGATCTTTTTTAAGCTGTCAGCCCTTAAATCCTCCCTTATAAGTAGGAAATTCTTTTGCTGCCTCCTACGTTTGTTCTGTCTGGCAGAAATGGATTATTGGGACAGAGAGAAAGAGCATAAATATCAGTATAGTTTAGCTGTCCTATAGAAAGATAGGTGAAGATTTGTTTTATATGTGTAGTATTGCTTGATGAAAAACACTGAACTACTGTTTTGCTTAAATTGGAGAAATCCTGAGCAAATTCCTTTGAATACGACAGTAAACATTGGGGCCCTTTTGATGTATTAGATTAGTTTCCATTCTAGTCAAATGGGCTGATTAAGCATTCCCAGGGTAGAGAATATAGACACTGCAAGCTTCATGGAATACTTATATTTGTACTAAGAGTACTTTCAATCTATGGATTTTGACTGCATAGTAGCAGCAGTGTGCTGCTTAAGGTTGGTATTCATATTGCTTTTTTACAAACAAACTAACCAAAACAAGCTGAGAATCCAAAATGATTTTGCCCAAAGTAACTGGCAGAGCTGAGCCTGGAACTACAAGTCCTGACTTTGATTCTGTGCTCTGGCCACTATGAGGTTTTGGCATTTGTTTCAACACATGCAGGTGATGAGAAGGATAATGTTTATGATCGCTTAGCTTTTTGATGGATTTTCTTTCATCCTTTTGTAAACAATTTTTATTTTGCCTAGGAGTTACTGTCAGTGTTGATTTATGTCGTTATATTTGAACATAAATCTCCATCGTTTAAAAATTGTGTTTTGTTACATTGACTGTTAATGGGTTTAAATTATGAGCACAGGAAGAGCATCTAAAAGCCCCTCAGCTTTCCTGTCGTATTTGTCCCCATGCGAAAATCATTTGTTTCATTTTTATTTCTGTAACACTATTACTATGGACCCAGGGTTGAGTTTAAACTTTCTTTTGGGTTTGTGCCAAAGATCACCCCCTCTTTACCTGGTTTACACAGTTACATGATTTGGGCTGAGGCGTCAAAGGCAGCTGGACAGGTTGATAGTCAAATCACTCCCTTGTGTGGCATTCACTACACAAATTGGCATGAGTTAACTATACCGACTAGCTAGGCTTGAGCAGACATTTACCTTTTTTCCCTTTTCCCTTTTCCCTTTTTTTCCCTTTTCCCTTTTTTTCCCTTTTCCCTTTTTTTCCCTTTTCCCTTTTTTTCCCTTTTCCCTTTTTTTCCCTTTTCCCTTTTTTTCCCTTTTCCCTTTTTTTCCCTTTTCCCTTTTTTTCCCTTTTCCCTTTTTTTCCCTTTTCCCTTTTTTTCCCTTTTCCCTTTTTTTCCCTTTTCCCTTTTTTTCCCTTTTCCCTTTTTTTCCCTTTTCCCTTTTTTTCCCTTTTCCCTTTTTTTCCCTTTTCCCTTTTTTTCCCTTTTTTTTTCCCCTTTTTTCCCCTTTTTTCCCCTTTTTTCCCCTTTTTTCCCCTTTTTTCCCCTTTTTTCCCCTTTTTTTCCCTTTTTTTCCCTTTTTTTCCCTTTTTTTCCCTTTTTTTCCCTTTTTTTCCCTTTTTTTCCCTTTTCCCTTTTCCCTTTTTTTCCCTTTTCCCTTTTTTCCTTTCCTGACATCATACTCCCTTTTTGCAGCTGTATTGTGACTGGGAATTACTGCCAGTAAAAAAAATAAAGAATAAATCAAAGTAATTATACTGCTTTAGCAGTAACTGTAGCTTTCAAGATGTGTTGTCCATATTTATATTCCATGATTCACCTGTCATCCTCATTCCTCTGTAACAAAAGTTTTGTGCATCTGGATTTTGAGTTAGGTGAATAATTGTGCCAGATCCATTCTGTGGGCTCTGTGTTAATTACCACAGCTGAACAAATTAAACAATTTTAAGCTAGCTGTATACATACCTGCCAATGGTGAAAGATATGAAATGTGTACAGCTCTTAAAGAATAAAGGAGGTAGCTTTATAGGAGGATAGAGGTAGTCCTCCTGTACATTTTTTATTTTAACAGTTTCTCATTTTTTACAGTTAAAAGACTCAGTTTCATGTACAGTTAGTTGTCCTGCTAATTAACAGGCTTGACATAGTTATGAGTTAGTGTATATTTTGTATGCTGGAGATTTTTTCAAGGGATGCCCAGCAGTCAATACAAAGATCAGAAGGACACTATTTGAGCTGTCCTGTTCTGTGATTTAACAGCTAGATCAAGCATGGGAGCTGTTACTGTGCAATCAGTTATCATTTTCTGTGAGCTACCATAAACTGCATCACAGCTGAAACTTAAGAATCTGTTAAACAAACCAGCTATATTCTGTTTCAATCTGTATTGAATAAACAAAGTCACATTTAATGTAATTTGAATCTTCCACACATTTAGATTTCTTAACAGAAATTTTGATGAAATCCTGCATGATTAAATAAAAATTAAATTTCTCACTTTCTGATGGTTAATCACAAGAAGGTATTTCAATTGGGTAAATTTTAGTAGAATGTCGCGTATCATTTCCTCAAACATACCATTTCAAAGGACCTTGTCTTTGATAGGGAATGAATACATGGCACATGATCAGAACTTTTAGTTCATGATGTACTTGGAAGAGCATAGTGTGGAAAACACAGTTTGAAGAATTGCAAAACCAGAAATCTGTAAACCAGACCTTAAAATTTTCAGTTGTAATTTTCTAGCCTTCCACTTGAATGTCTGGGTGCCTACTAAGGAAGTATTGTATGTACTGGCTGTTGTGTGCAATTGTACAATTATAAATATTAAACCAAGTAGTATTTATGCTCTACAGTAAAGTGGTTTACTACATAATCATTAAAGTAACATTTAGCTTCTATATATAGTGTATATTTCAGGTATGGGTAGTATTCTGAGTGAAAGTCATTAAATGAGGCACCCAGTAATGTACTTTATTCTTCAGTTCTACTGTAGAAATAATCATAAGCGGGTATTTAGATTACCTGCTTCTTTGCTATATGCAATATGCAACACAAATTTTTCTGTGGCCTTTTTTTTTTTTTTCAAAAAGTAAGAACATACGATGTAAGATTTCATTCTTCATGATTTGGGTCATTGAAATAAATTTCCTTTCATTGTATGTGGTTATCAAGAATATTAAACAACTCACTGGGAGACTAGTGCCACCTAAATAAATAGACCTACTTGAAAAAAATGGTGCATTCATAATGAGTAATGCTGTAACAATTCTGGTTTTGTTTGAGACCTTATAGGGATCCAGACCCTTGTGACTTCAAAGAACATATCCCATTTAGTACTCTTTCAGGAGCTGGATTTGGGTCATACAGTGCGGTAGATAACAATGAAGAGAACAATTTATCTAACTTCTGCTGTTGCAACAAATGCAGCTTATTGGAAGGACTTGGTTGCCACTTACAATTATTTTAAATTTCATTACTGTAGTTCTGACTTTTAAATAAAATGAGAAATGATTTTCATCTGTTTGAATACTGATTTCTATGTTGTAGGACTAGGTTGTTAAAAATGCTATATTTCGTTGGCAAAGAAAATGTCTTATATCAGAAATGTGTTCTGTGCTATCATCACAGAATTCTTCCTCTTGAGTCTCATTTTTCTACTGTGAATCAAGAAGGCCATGCCTTGCACTGGCATTAGACTTGCATACAACTTCTTGTATGTTAATTTCTTTAGTGGCACAAAACTGGAGATAATTTCTCTTTCCTATATTGCAGTATAAAAGATGGTATATATTGCATATTTCAGTCTGTACAACTGATTTTATATCTGTATGTTTCAATACTCAACCCATAGCCTTTAAAGGAAATTAAATAATAGGACTAATTTGTCAATTTTGCGTGTTTTTTGCTTTCAGAAATTAGCACCTGGAGTTAGTCAGTTTGCTTACACCTGTGTACAAGACCATCCTATCTGGACTAACCAACAGTTTTGGGAAACAACCTTTTATAGCAGCGTGCAAAATCAAGTTCGCTCCCTCTACCTTACAGCCAAAGACGACAACCATGCAGTACAGTTGAGACAAAAGGTAGGAGAATATATTAAAGTAAAGATGAAGGTAGTATTTTTATTCACACTTTAATTGTCTCCTAAGTCATAGAGAGCTAAGTTATGGTTTCCCCAATTATACATAGTTTTCTTTCATTTTTCCCATATTAAAGAGCATACAATAACATGAAAAATAACAAAAATTTACATTTATCTGCAAAACATTGTAATTTGATGTTGCTCTTGTGATTTTTGAACCAACCACTTTTTGTATAATTTTCCGCACTTTAAGGTATATGTTTTTCCTGAGAGTAGTAACTTATCATATAGCAATGTTACAAATTAGTGACAGTTCTGTTATATGAACAACCTAAGCTAGCAGCATTTCTAGTGTCCAGTGTTAGATTATTACCAAACCCTAGGGTGGTTTCTGTTGAATGGCACTCAGTCTGTTTTATCAAAACTGGATAGATCTTCCAGAACACAAATTGTCTGTCTCAGTACGTCTCTAATGCAAAAATGAAAGTATAATGGGAAGCCTTGCAGCATGCTAAAATAAGATTTTTTTTTTTTTTTTAAAGAAGGAGCACTTACACATAGTAAAGAACCATTTGTAATCTCTCTTCTTGTATGAAAATATCATTATCAACTATGTGACTGAAAAGTGTATGCTACCCAAAGTCATACAGCATTGTAAAGAGAGGAAGTAATATGGACAGAAATATTCCCAGAAATATTAGTCAATAATAGTCAAAATAAAGAACTGAAAAGGCGGGTCAGACATATCAGGGATAAAGAGAAAAGGACTGTGGGACTGTGTGTGGGGAGCCCCTTCCAATCTGACACTAAGTAAAGAAAAATGTGAAGAATAGTAGAACTTATAAGGAAGCATCTACTGTAACCCTCACATGTGTTTGTATGGAAAATTAGCTCAACTTTAACTTAGTATGGAAAAAACATGTACAAGATACCTAGTCCTTTAAATAATTTAACATCAGGTTTTAGGTCACTAATACCGGCTGCCAGATTCCTTTATTCTATTTCCTCAGGCTATAATATGATTTGACTATGTGCCATCTACCTAGTTTGCTTCAAGCAAATGCTAGAATTGGACTCCAACATGTGAAGACATGAATGTTTCAGCTGGTCTGGAAACTATTTATATAAAAGCTTGCCTCACCTGAACATCCTAGGAATTTGGAGAATATCACCTGCATCAAGCAATGAGCTGCACATTACTTCTCAATCTGATTTATGCTTGTTCTTATGTGAGCTAAGTGGATAAGCTAAGGAGAGCAGCTATATTAAAATCAGTAAACCACTCTGAAGAAACATGGAAGATCGTATAGCATAAAAAAGATCTAGAAAGAAATGACGTTGTTTAGATCTGTCTACATTGTGCTACTTGCATATTTCAGTAAACTGCCTCCAAAGCTCAGTTACTAAAATCATAACTCTCCTTAAACCCTACTGAGTGTAGTTATTTGCTTTTTCTTTTTAAATTAATATATAATTTAAATAACTGAAGAAGTTTAATAAACAATTTAATAAATTGTTTTGACTAAACATTGTTTTTTAAGTTATAGCTTTATTATTTCGTCTATGTCTTTATATTTCTTTCTAGGAGAAGAATTCTGTAGGTCCAGACCAGGATAAGACAGCAATGGACCTGGCTGCTGAGCAGTTGCGATTATGGCCAACTCTTAGTAAACAAACGCAGCAGGAGCTAGTCCAGAATGAGGAAAGTACGGTTTTCAGTCAGGCAATTCATTTTGCTAACCTCATGGTCTACCTGCTAGTACCACTGGATACAAGTAAGAACAAGTTATTGAGAACATCAGCTACTGGTGACTGGGAGAGTGGAAGCAACAGTATTGTCACAAACAGGTGGGTATGCAAGTTCAGTGGTAATCAGTCAGGATGAGCCACAGTTTTCAAAAGCTTCTTAGTTTTCAGGACTTATTCTAGCAGATTATTTTAGTATCTTCTCTTCTTTTCAAGTTCATTAATTAAGGAGAGCAGAAGTCTTACATGATTCCTCTTAAATAACAGAACTTAATCTGGAGTAATTTACCACCATTTAAAGGAACATAAAAATTTTATTGTCACAGTAAGAATTTTTAATCTAGTAATGCAAATGTTGAAGACAAACATAGGGTACGATGAGAAAGAAAACAGCAGCCCAAAACCTACTCTGTTAGTTTTTATGTAACTTGGAAAAAAACAGTGTATGAACCTAAAATCAAGAAAGCATTTGTATGGCATCCATAAAATTACAATTTCTGTGCTACAGCTGCGAAGAAGAAAGGCACTGACGTCACAAAAAGCAAGAGGGCTAAACCACTGTGGCAAAGGTTAAATTACTAAGGAGGCAGAAGGGGTATAATGCCAGTTACATTCCCTAGCATGCAAATCCAGGACATTTTGTAACAAGCCTTCCTCCCTCTCTATTTATTGTCTTCATTATCACCTATGATCTGTCAGAATTGCCACCTGATAAAATTGTAGAACACTACGTGAGAACACTGACATAAAGCAAAAGATAGGCAGGCTATCAGTATCAGGCTTCCCATAGCTAGTCATTTCTGCTGACTAAACACCTCCAAACTCAGGCATTAGGACATGCTCAGTAGACAGGTTGCAGTATATGTTGCAATGTATGAATCTGGCCTTTAATATTATGGGAGGCATTTTCAGACGTTCAAAGTACATCTCCCACTGACTTGCTTGCATTTTCTATCTGATGCACAAAAAACTTTTCTTATGGTCTTTTTAGCTTCTGAATGCTTTGCTCTGCAACCAAAATACTCATTTAATGTATCTGTATGTATGTAACTGGATATTTGTTTACCATGGGTTGCAAATAATATACTTGACTCCATGAAGAGAAGGCGTAGAGCTCACTTTCAAGGAGCTTTTTTTCTCTTGTGGGCCTGTCTGCGCTGGAATCTTGGAGGGAAAGTTCTCCATGCAGTTCTGACAGTGTTAATGACAGTGAAAATACAGTGTAACTGTGGTGCCACCATACGCTTTTAGCAAGGTTTTTGTATTGTAACTAGAAAAAAAAACACAGCTTGTCTGTCACTAGCTACATATCATATGTGCATCACCAGCTGAATTTTTCACACTTGAAATTTCTTTTATTTATGTCCATAGTATTGCAGGCAGCGTTGCAGAGAGTTATGACACTGAAAGTGGATTTGAGGACTCTGAGAACAATGATGTTGCAAACGCAGTTGTACGCTTCATCACGAGATTTATCGACAAGGTTTGCACAGAGAGCGGAGTTACACAGGATCATATCAAGGGTCTTCATTGCATGATACCAGGTAAGAATTGTGACAAAAAAGTGGTTCGTAGTCTTTCTTTTTTTTCTAGTGAGAGAAATGCACTTTTTAGTTTCAGTTACTTTCAGTGAAGTTAGAAGGTTAGATTTCTTTTCTAGACTATAATTGCTGTTGAATCTCAAATAATTATTCCCTTGATGTTTAAATTTGAGAATATCAGAATATCAGAGTTTTAATTAGATTGCAACTTTCTCTTTCATATTATGTGAGGCTTCATTTATGGTATTACTGCTTTCCAGGCATTGTAGCAATGCACATAGAGACCCTGGAGGCTGTCCATCGTGAGAGTAGGCGGCTTCCACCAATACAGAAGGCAAGTATTATGAAACATATTTGTATTCTTTACAAGTATTAGAATCATGCAATTTAGTCATCTTTTTTTCCCCCTCATAATGTTAGGAGGAAACATCAAAACACTGAAAGGAAATTTCCACCAGTGATAAATAAAGTGCTTGGCTTTGGTCTCATGAAATATGAACTTAAGAAACTAGTAGAGCCAAACTTCTGAACATAAACAAGCTTTTGCATGCCCACTGTTTTTTGAGACCCATTTCTCTTAGTTGAGTCCAAACTCTGTCTCCCTTCTTTGGACTCAGTCTCATAACAATTTTGTTTTGAAGCTTTTTAAGCCAAATATTATAACTAGACCGAGGTATAACACTGCTATCGCCATTACACTGACACTTTCATTTATTTGCATCAGCCCAAAATTCTACGACCAACTTTACTGCCAGGAGAAGAATTTGTTTGTGAAGGTCTCCGTGTGCTACTGGATCCTGATGGCAGAGAGGAAGCTACAGGAGGACTGCTTGGAGGTCCTCACATCCTCCCTGCTGAAGGAGCTTTGTTCCTTACCACTTACAGAATTATATTTAAAGGCACTCCTCATGATCAACTGGGTAAGAAAAATTAAGCAGTGATAATTGTGGTCCTTCGGATAGGCAGGATTTTGAGCTGGCCTATCCACCTATTCAAGCATCAACATAACAATGTATATACCTCACAGTATAATTTTTCATGTTGATCAGATAAGAATAATCTCTTAATATGGGTTTTTATCACTAGATATGACAATAATTGATTTTGATCTTGCATTTAACTTAACTAGAACTTATTTCTTTAGATGAGGTATTAGGTGCCAAATGTTCGTTTATTCCTGCATATTGGTAGATATTTAGAGTGCTGTCTTCAGTAATTTATGTAATATAAAATCGTAATATGTTGTTGTCTTAGAGGAAACTTCAGTAGACTGTCACATGGTATTATGGGCTTTTACAGACTACCTAAAGTTGGAGACAGAAAGTAAGGACATTCCTGACCATATTTCAGTAATTTCCATAGACTTTCTGTTTCGACTGGACAAAATGCTTAGTATCTTTATATCTCAATTCCATCTGTAAAGTTGGTCTAATAATGCTGCTTTACAGACCAACGCTTGTAAGCTTCTTCACCACTAAGAGAGAAGAGAACACATATATTGCAGCTTCCACTACACCTAACTTTTCATTAAACAGTTTTTTTCAGCCACTGGTAGTGTGTTAAATGAAAAATATTCATTAGTTAATATTCTCCCTAAAATGATTATTAATAAATTCAGTATTCTTTTTAATATGTAATGGAAATAGCTCTTCTGAATGATAAATTTTCATATTTTGACATCTGCCATTTCTAAGCAGATTGTCATTCAGATGTGTAAATTTGTTGTGGAAATTCATGGTCATATTTAAAGATATCAGTGTATATCATTTGTTGTTTATAAGTTGTATAGTGCAATATGAAATTTGAATAAGCTTGAAACTGTTTCTTCACCCCCTACCAACCTAGATTTTGGGGGTGCGTTTCCATCGTGTAGAAAGACTCAGAAGGAAGGAGAATATTTTTCTAATCATCCCAGCTGAAATTAAGCAGAAATTCAGATTACAAATAATACTTTAGGAATTTACCAACTTTTCAGGATTTTGCCTGAAATTAATTCTGTACCATTATTTTCGTGTTGCTTTGTGTGTACTCATCCCTATGTATTCAAAGTACAAGTGACCAAACCAGGTTTGATTCTGTGATCTAACAAGTATCTGTAAATACAATTTTATGGTCCTCAGTTGGAGAGCAGACGGTGATCCGGAGCTTTCCTATTGCATCTGTTATGAAGGAGAAGAAGATCACTATACAGAATCAGCTGCAGCAGAGTATGCAGGAAGGATTGCAGATCACTTCAGCTACCTTTCAGGTAAAAGGAAGTTTTGCAAAAATTTACAGTCAGCTCAAAATACTTATGAGCAGTACTTTGTCCTGATATTTGTGAAGAGTTCAGTTTTCTTCCCTGTAAAGTCAATAGAGAATGCAGTCCTCTCATAGAAACCGTGGAGTTTCTTGGCCCAGTTGATATTTACAAAGGGTTACCATTTTCATATTTGATTTCTTTCACTCCTTTCCTCACCTTTCTATTTTGGATCCATTAAAGGGCTATTTTGGGTACAGAAACTCTTAATGTGAGTAAGTAGAGCCCTAGGCAGGCAGTGGAAACGTGCTTTCTCTCTCCTCCAGCTGCATGGAATGAATATGGAAAAGCTATAAATACTGTTTTCTTCTCAAGACTTGTCACTTGACCAGCTTTCTGTAAAAATCCATGGGAGAAAATCATGGTACGTCTCACATGGAAGCTGCACTTCCAGGAATCTTTAGGGTAGCCACCATTGGCCAGAACCAGTGAGCCTCCGTATGACTTGCACGGATCCTGGTAGTTCCCTGTCTGTAGGATCCCCCTCAGTGTGTTCAGCAGAAGCATGTACTGCAGGGATTGACAGAGATGGACTTCTAAGAATTAGGAATCATGAAGTCTTTGAAGTCTTCCCTAAATGTTTCTTCTTGGTGGTGATCTTAATTGTGGTCAAACCCTATGAGATGGAAAGTTGAAGGCAAATAATTTTATATCATGGGCTGAAAGTAGACTGCAGTACTTAAGATATGAAATATTTTGTTGGGTTGGCTGACTGCAGAAGTATGTTTTCATTGAGAACAATATCTCTAACATTTGCAAACATAATAAAATAGATCATCAGCATTTTACTAGTTCCTTACAATAATGGACATTATTTAGATATCCTTCAATATCCTATTCAAAAGCGTAAGATAAGGAATACAAGGGAGTAAAACAACCGAAAGAAAGTTGTTCTTGTGGACTTTTGAGAGGACTTCATGACGACTTTTATTTTCCAGAAGTATTTTTACCAGAATAGTTAGCATGCTTCAACGATGTGCTAAATACAGACACAGTGGTTTTAGTGCTGGATTCTGGTCAAACATCGTCTTTGCTTTTGTTTAGCATAGTTTTGTATTAGGTTATGAGAACAAAAACAATCAGCCAACAGTTTACTTTCTGTTCCCTTTGTAACAGCTAGAGTTCAATACAGTATGAAATAGCCCCTCCTCTTTGTTTATTAATTATGACTTTCAGAAGGTTTTGGCTGCAGTTATGCTATTTAATGTCTTTAAAACTTCAAATCAGTGTAACCCCTAAAGATTCAAGAGCTCTTTTCAAGGAGGTCCTAGAACAACAAAGTTATTAGTCATTTGGAAAGTATTTACAAAACAAGTGAAATTAAAAAAGCAATGATGAAATCCACCTTCTAGCTGGCAAACAAAAGACATTCAAAAGGTGTATAGATATGCACTCAGAAATAAAGCTCTAGGATATTTCTTTGTTTACTGTTTTGCAAATTCTTAAAGTACTTTGGGCCCTTTTACGGATTCCCTATTTTCTTTCTCTTTTTTTTTTTCTTCCCCTCCCCCCGCCCCTGAATTGCTGACTGTCATCCTTTTGGCTGAGGATGATGGGATTTTTTTTTTTCCCAAAACCTTTCAAAAAGCGTTTTTAGTGGGGTGGATGGATCAGTGTTGAATAACACAAGGTTAGTTCTTTTTAAGGATCAGATTTCACCATTACATTTTTATTATTAGCAGTTTTCTATACTTTGCAAGATGAGGCAAAAATTGGAATGACCAAGTAATGGAAGTGTAATGGTTGTGACACACGAACGCTGAAATTGTTGGTTTGATGAGAGTCTTTGTAGTGCGTTACCAACCTTAGTTCCCAGTATATGGGCAGAGCTGGCAGGATATTTCCAAGCTGAGCTGTCCCACGTGACTAGTATTTGAACTGTTGTAGACATCTTAGTGCCAGGTCTACTACTTGGATTTACCAAAATATTTTGTGTTTGGTATTATGAGAATTCCAGATGCTTCTTGTGAAAATACCTTAGTATTAGGACATAAATGTAAAAAATAAAAAATTAATAAGCTGTGTAATATCCCACAAAATCAATAAGATATATGTACATATATTTGTATTTTCCAATGGCCATAGAACTGCATAAGTGTGGGAATTTTGCTAGTATATTTTAGGATCTTTCCATTTCTTTAATTCTATAATTTTTTTTTTTCCATTTCTAACATGTCATGTCTTTAATATGCAGTTAATTAAAGTAGCATTTGATGAAGAAGTAAGTCCTGAAGTGGTGGAAATATTTAAGAAACAGTTAATGAAGTTCCGTTACCCTCAATCTATCTTCAGCACTTTTGCATTTGCAGCTGGGCAAACAGCACCACAGATAATTTTACCAAAACAAAAAGAAAAGAACACTTCATTCCGGTATAGTCATTCTTCTTCTTTTGTTACTGATGTTCTAGTTTAGTATTAGTCAAATACATTGAACAATCTGACAGCTTTGCAGAAATGCAGATCATTCAAGCAGTTTTCAGGAAAGTCAAAATAACTGATTGCTATTCTGTGTCTTTTTATATTTACTGAATAAAAGGTAAATTAGTATGATATACATGTCAATTTGGTATAGGCATATATTATTTATCCAAATTTCTGGCTGCAGTAAATTTGAACAGGCATCTTGTTACATTTTGAAACACACAATGTAAGTAGCATCTTCAGCTATGCAAACTATGCCAACATAAAAACCAGATTTCTTGTGTATGACTTTATACATTAATAACCTAATGTGGGTTGGAATAAATTCTACCCACAGTACAGTCTGTACAGTTGTCCTAGTCTTTTTTAATCTAGAGTTTGAGCTTTGGGTCCTCTTTTGAAGTTCATGTTATACGTTAATTTTTACTAGACTAGATGGCTCATTAGTCTATTCCAGAGTGATAGTTCCTGTGATTCTCTGTTGATTATTGCATTGTTGACACAGGAAAGTAGAATCCCAAGCTAGTCATGGAATCCTAAAACTTTAAGGTAATTTCTGTCTTTCCTGCCTTTACTTTGTCAACTTTGTAGATTTATCACATTGCTAGCAAAATACAAATACCTAAAAAAAGATGATGGCTGCTTATTCATTACCATTAGACATAATAGATGCAAATTTATCTCAAAATAATAAAATTGGTGTTTAAAAATTAATAAAGAAAGAGGTTATAATTTTTTTCATTATATTAAATGAAAAATTATGAAATACATTTTATTTGGGTAAGTGGGTTCATCATAAAAATCTGTACATGCTATCGGGGAGAATCATATGCATCTTTCTAAATATTTTTGTTGCTATGAATTTATAGTACCTTCTCAAAAAGCATTGTGAAAGGAGCAAAACGTGCTGGGAAGATGACAATTGGACGCCAATATTTATTAAAGAAGAAGACAGGCACAATAGTGGAAGAAAGAGGAAATCGCCCAGGCTGGAATGAAGATGATGATATCTCTGGTAATAGTAAAACATTTTTTTCCATGTTGATTGATAAGTCTATGCTATTATGCTTCCATTCCAATATATTGAATAAGTAATATCTTCAAGAAGAAATTGCAGAGTCTTCCTAGACAGGAAAGAGAAAGGTTTCAAATATGTACATTTAGTTTTCTTTTGTGATGATGAGACAGAAGAGGAAGTTGACTTCATTCAGTGGTAAAGAAAAATACTAGATTATTATTTTTTAATTATCAAACTATTTTCTTATAGTATCTTTTTTTGTCATTTTTTACATCGTAATAGTATAAATGGAACAACACAGAAATAGCTTACATTTATCTTTAGAGATCATGACATCTGCAGTTAGTCTACGATGAGGAAGCAGTAATTGGAGAGATTCAAGAAAGAGCAAATACTATGGGAGACTTTTGCGGATGTGGAAGTGGCAAATGATTTCTGAAAGCAGCAGAAGTCATTACTACTGAAAAGACCATTTTTCCACATTTTGGGTGAAAGGATTTGGGGACAGAAGGTAGAAAGTGATTTGGGCACTTTGTATAGTTCATGTGATGGTGTGGAGTTTGACTTTCTTCCAAATACTTCTTTTCCTACCATGTGCTGCTGTCAGTATATCCTTATCTGGACCAGTGCTAATTTATAATAAACCACTAGAGGGAACCAGATTCTCCTGTACATAAACAGGTATTGTTTTGTCATACCATTCTTTCTCTTTTTAAAAAAAAAAAAAAAAAAGGCATTTCGTAGCATAACAAAGTGTTTATCAAACACTAGTAATTTCTTCAAAGCATCAAACAAGCCAAATTTTCCTTTTGAATATTTGGTCAGTGAGCAAGGCAACTTATGTGACTTATGAGCAGATATATAAAACTTGTCTGAAGCAGGACTGTGTTACTGCACTGTCTCTGTTCTCTCCGAAATGGAAGAAAGCCATTCTAGGGAAGCTAAAAAATATTGATTCTCTTCTTTCATTCCAGATAAAAGTGGTGGAAAAAAGGCAAAAAGAAAGGATTACAAAATACAGAATGTCTTTACAGTTCTGAAAAATTACAATCGTAATTGAATTTCCAGCATCTTTCTTAAGTGCTGAGTTTGTATGTGTTCTGATGTTGCAGGTTCTTTGGGGCAGAAGCAATTCTGCAGGCTGTACCTGCATGATTTTTGAGTGATTTTTGTGTCCTTCGCCCAGAGCCACCAAGCACAATCATGCCTGTGTATTCGTACTTCTCTTGATGATGAAGAAATTTTAAGAGTTTTTGCGTTGCTGACGTACAAAACAACTACATTCTTCCATGAACATAGGTGTTATATAAACATTAGTGATAGTCCTAACAAAAATATAAAAATATAAATTATGAGGCTTCCTATCTGCTGCTTTCCAGATGTTGTGACTGGGAATGTGTAAGGTGATCAAAGTCTGACAGTTTCTTTTTCTCTCTACGCTGCACTGACACCTTAGGTGTAGTCAGCTAACAACAGTAGTAACTCTTTGCTTCAGACAGAGTACAATTTGCTATTTAATCACTGCAATTTCTTTTATGTTGACTGCTGTGAATGACTTTTGTTTGCAAGTCTCAAAAACTGAAGTATAGGAAACTATGATTCTATACCAGCAATGAAGCAAATGGGAACTATCTGCAGCAGGTGATGCATTGTCTTAAAAAAGAAATGTTAAAGATAGGGCTGGAAGAAATTTCAAGGGATCATCTACTCCATCTCTCTGCCCCAAGGCAAGATCAACATACTTAATCTGTTCCTCATAGATGTTTACCTAACTTTTTCTTAGAAGCTGTCAAAGATGAAGGTTCCACAACCCTAGGCAATTTGTACTAATGTTTAACCATCCTTAATGCTGCAGAAAAACAAGCAACTTTCTGACATTAAGGCCTAAACATTTCCTTGCCACAATTTAAAGCCTTCACTTCTTTTTCTGCCACCATATACATATAGAAGAGATGATTCCCTTCATTTTGTTTGCAGTGCTTAATATATTTATGGACTATTGTAATGTTTCTTTTCTCTGTTCTTTTCTGGATATTAAATATCTGCAGTTCTTTCAGTTCTTTGTTTATTAGTCTTGGTGGACTTCTGATCATCTTCATTGCTCTTTTCTCAGTCCTCTTTAGTTGGTCCACGTAAAACTTGCAATGTGATTTCCAAAGCCATGCACAGTACTCTATAGTTATTAGATGTTGCTAATGAACACCTAACTTCCCTCCAATTCCTCCCCATCTTTTTATTTTCACAGTTTAGAATTGCATCACTACTAAATTCTGTTTTCTATAGGTGATCATACTGGTGTGTTTCATAAAATAGGAGACTGTAAAACCCACTTTTACAGTCATATCTCAGTAACAGTAAAATTAGAGGGATTATTCCTCCTCTTTTCAAAAACAAATTTAAAAAAATCCATTTTGAACTTGAGACAGCAATACATCTTCATCTCCCTCTTCAAGTTAAGGACACTGATATGACCTTGTATAACCTCTAGCTTTTTATGCATAGGAAAATGTTTTGGAAATTCTGATCACCAATATACCTGCTTTTGTGAGAGAAAAATCCATTTAGAAAAAAAAATATTTCAAAAAATGCACCCCCATCTTATCTGAGTCACTTATAGCTTTCCATTCAAAACTGTTAAATACCAAGTTTCTGTATGCCCAGAAATAAAATTCTTTCTAAAACTCATTTAATTTGTTTCTTGTTAGTGCGCTTTATACTTGTAAATGTTTTGTAACTTACCATGACAAATATGAAAACACAGAAAAAAGAGGAGATATCCACAGAGTTAAACTCTTTATTATTTAGGTCAAATAGAGAATTGTTATTTTTGTTTGATGAGCTGCAGGGGCAAAAAAATTATTCATTTAACTTTTATGCTAAGATGCACAAAAAAAATGTATGTGGGTTCTACTCCTGTAAATTCTGAATGTTGTCTACTACCAATAAAATTTTAATTGTATCATAATTTTTATTTTTTAAATTTTAATTTCCATTTTTATAAAATCCTGTTTTAAATGTAAATCCTTATATACTTTTCAGTGCCTCCTTCATGAAGAAATACTTCCCCTCATATGCACTTATTTCAATGCTTGAGGTGGTAGCAAGTAACTGATACATGCTGTGAACAGTAAATCTGCTGGAAGTGTCAGTAACAGGCAGGTGGCAGGTTTTGTACAAAGACCTTGCTTGACTTGAATTTCAGTGTAGTTTGAACTTGTGACATGGTTTTTATCTCTCATGGTTAAAGGTTTTTGTGCTTTGGAAGGTGCAGCTGACGTGCACAGCTGCAGAAAGCTACTGTTTGACATTGAAACTGAGGCATTAAGAAACGAACAGTCATTTGTTGTGAAATTATGACACAGAAACATTTTTTTATTTGAACCAAGCCTTAAAAAGATTGTTACATCTTTTGAAGATAGTTTAAATCAATTTTATCTTGGATGTTTAATGAATTTATGTGCACATTTTTCATTATTCTGTTTTGTGTACATCTTTGTGTAGCAGTTGTGAGTTTAACAGGTTTTCATAAACTGTTGAAAGAAAGATTATCTGCCTTTGGTTCAGCTCAAATGAATATATGAGATAACTTTTTCCAGAATTTTAGCAAAAGACTTGTCAGCCATGCCAGTCATAAGTACAATAGGTAACTGTGCAGTATATTCAGGTTTCCTGATTAAAATATTATTTTATTGCTTATAATTTCTATAAATTGTGGTTTGTATGTATTAGTTCTTGTCATTTGTCACTGGCAGTAAGACAAACTAATATTTTATTCAGAAGAAAATAGCATCATTTTCTGTGTAACTGCTGGCCTCCCCAATAACAAACTCTTAAAGATGTTTAACTTCAGTTTCAGATGACAGCGAGCTGCACACAAGTGGTACGCTGAAAGCATCAGAAAAATCAACAATGGAGCAATTAGTAGAAAGAGCCTGTTTCAGAGACTATCAACGTTTGGGACTAGGGACCATCAGTAGTAACTCTTCTCGCTCAAAAACAGAATACTTAAGAATAACTGCACTGAACAGGATGTATTCACTTTGCAGGAGGTGAGTTTACCAATTCAGTCAAGTAGTTGAAAATAAAGATGACATAACACACATACCACATGATGTATCCATTTAAGCAACTTAATCTGAGAAAATTTTTGTCTACAGTAGGAGTGTTCAACCAGTGACCTTGAAGCTATTTGTATTCAAATACACTCAGAGATTCATCTTCTGGTGGCTGCATATGTATTCATCAGATTTGGAAAGAATGCCAGCAATGGTAGCCAGAAGTGAGCCCCAGAAGCTCTGTCAGACAACACAAGTCTTCCCTCCTAGGTTCTTTCTATAGCCCGTGGAAAGAGAGTGCCCCTGCGGCTTTTGGAGGAAACTAACCTAGATACTCTGAGTTGCCTTTTGAAGGAGTTTCTTTCTCTTGGCTTTCTACACTGATGTCTAAATCATTAGGCTATTTTTCAGCTTTCTGACTTGGCTTAGTAACAATAAAGTTACCTGGTAGAACTCACTCTCTCGGTATGGTTTCTATAACTTGCTGTGTTGCTACTGGAAATTATTTATGTAATATATTTGCATATAAAATCTATTCTGTTCCTAAATAAAAAAGCAAGCCTCAGAAACAATTACACATAACTATTTTCTTCAAATAAAAAATATGTTTTAAACTTGAATTCATGAAGGTATCTACACTGCTTTAAAAGTTTGTCGTGCTGAAAGTCACGTGCTGTGTTTTAACACATGAATGTTACTAACTCCTTTTTTGTTGTGAAAGCTGATGTAGTTTACTACCATTACCCACAAAAATTCTTTTTAATACAAAAGCATATCTGCATGAGTCATATCAGAAGAGCGTTTGCTTCTCTAAAGCCAGTTTTGGCTAGTCATTACTTTCGTTATGAATAATGAAATTGCCAGTTCTTCATGGAAGAAGGGCACACAAGAAAATGTTAGATCCTTTCTTGTTTTCTGACTTATCTAGAGTAACAGACTAATAACTGGTTTTCTTCAATCACCATTGAGTACAATGTATATGAAGGCATTAAATCTGTACATTTTCGTTATGCTTTGAACATTATGCAGACAACTCTTTCCTCCCTTAAACCCACCGGTTTTTAATATTCTATAGGATTTTTTGGAAAAGATAATATATCTGAGTGGATTACAAATCTCAGGATGTAAATACTTATCTAGTGCCATATTAATTTGGTTACTGTGTTTTAAGTAGACTGTAAATATTATGTACGTTGGTTTTGTATGAGGGCAGTTCAATAAATGTCAAAGAACTGAATTCACAGGAACAGTGTATATTGTAGAGGAACAAAGCTGTTTAGTAAGCACTAATTTTTCCCTGCTCCTCGTCTTAGTTTCTTCTTAACATATGAAATTGGCACTTAAATTGAATATTTTTTGGAGGAGATAGAAAATAATGTTTCGTATTGAATCCTTCTTGCACTAACATGAACACAACTACCATCTTGCTGGGTTTTCTATTTTTAAAGCTATTGTATCAGTGAATTTCCTAATCTCTCAATGTATTGTAGTGTTTTAAAAAGTACACAAAAATGCAGTTTCAAATACACTGTTCCAAGGAATCTGACTGTAAAATTTAAATGTATTTTGACATAAACCAAAAACTATTGTTTTAGTTGTGATACTTTAGGCAATCTAGCATTCTTTCCTTTCGATGCTCATATTTCATATACAAGTGTCAAAACAAAACTACTGTATCATTTGCATGCCTCAAAATTCTCTTTTCTGTCATGCTCAAAAATATGGCTTCATTATAGTGACAGATAAGAGATAATACTAAGAAGAAAAATATTAGCAAATAAAATACAACCTTAAATGGAAAGAGACTAGTAGTGATAGTCTTACAAATTTTTTGTAATTAAAGGTGTTTTTGAAAGGCAGTTTTCTTTACAAATTAATATATTTGCTAGGATTAGACTAAAAATGAGAGTTACTAAATAAAAAATAATTCTGACAGTTGAGATGTATTTTCATTAAGATGTATATTCAGCTTGTAATTTTAGGAATTTTTTTTCATTGTTTAAAATTTTGAAAGCAATTTTAATTGCTGCTCAATTTTTTTCATCTTTTTGTCAATACAGTTATCCTGGGCTTCTGGTAGTACCTCAATCTGTTCAAGACAGCAGTCTGCAGAGAGTTGCTCGCTGTTACCGTCACAATCGCCTACCAGTTGTCTGTTGGAAGAACACTAAAAACAGTACTCTTCTACTTAGATCGGGGGGCTTTCATGGAAAAGGTGTTGTTGGCCTCTTCAAATCCCAAAACACACATACTACAGGTAAGTTGATGCAGTAGGCTTTCTGTATAAGTAATTTTATGTAGAAATACTTATTTTTCTAGAGGAAATCAGTGATACGATTGAATCAAAAGTCTCAGGATATGAATGGTTTTCTGATACTATATTAATTCAGTTTAATTACTGTATGTCAAGAAGCAGATCCTGAATGGTATGAAAGTGGTTCAAAAAAAGTCAATGAATAGTTTGAAAGGAGATTATATACATACCAAAAGTCTTTGTTTAAAGCTGGCATCTGCCAAATGCAATGCCAACTTCCCCTGTTTCCCTTAAATTATCTTTCCTTTGCACTGGTTTAAGTAATGAGTGTATGTTGTCCCTTTTAATAGAGGATTACATAAAACATTAGAGACATCATTATCCACTGGATTTTCTCATGTTTTTCATGGTAATATTAGTTTAAATTTGCATTAAGTAAATCTCTTCCTTTGTGTGATCAAGATTGGACCAGTACAAGATTTGTCAGAATAGTTAATTTTTCAGAAGAATATAACATATTAGGGCAACATTAGTTTTGGAACGAACATGAGTTGACTTTCATCATTCACAGGCAGTGTTTAGGATACTTATTGTAACTGCCTGGATTTCCATCTCTTATGCTGATAGTTTCTTCGGAGTTAATTTCATGCCAAGAGTGAATTTAGTATATTGCTGAAGAAAAAGTCAGTATTCTCTTTAATCAACCTGGAATATAACGTATTAGGGCAACATTAGTTTTGGAACATGAGTTGACTTTCATCATTCACAGGCAGTGTTTAGGATACTTATTGTAACTGCCTGGATTTCCATCTCTTATGCTGATAGTTTCTTCGGAGTTAATTTCATGCCAAGAGTGAATTTAGTATATTGCTGAAGAAAAAGTCAGTATTCTCTTTAATCAACCTGATAGTTGTTTAGAAATTATTCTAGAATTAGGCCATGATTTTTCTTTTTTGAGAAAAAGAAAATGAGAGGTAGAACTGGAATACCAGGAACTCATTAAGGTAGCAAAGAAATTCTTCAGTCCTGTTTATGTTTGTGTTTCACCCCAATAATAACTAGAACGCAATTAAAGGGTTTGACTCTGCTGAATAGTTTGTTCTATAGAATTTTTCAAAACCTGTAACAAGCATGCTGTACGAATATGTGCAAGTTGCATAAAAGTTTGAAGATTACATGATTTCAATATTTTCTGGATAGTCCTCCTGAATTTTTCCTTCACAGAGTATCTTTATGAAAAACACAATTTTATTACTTGTAAAGAACCGTTTATATCAGATGTAATATTTAGCTATATGAGGTTTTGTGTATATCAAATTCACCTTTAAAATCTCAAAATTTCAGAGATCTTATTAGAAAAATGTTTTTTTACATCAGACAGTGTCTGGACTGGCTATTAACGCTAATTTGTGAATCACTAATTGTCTGCTGAATATTCACTGCTATAGCATTGATTCAGTGTGTCTCTTCAGTGTTTTGTGGGGCATTTTTTAGTTGGAGTGAGGAGCAAAATAATGAATTGAGTTTTATATAATGCATTTTTGTTGAAAATACTCATAAAATGAATCAGTGAAGTACTACCAATAATTAACATAGCAGCTGCCAAAGCTGTGAGCTACACCGGTTGTTCTGGAGATTTATGGTGTGAATCCTAAGCATAGTAATTCAAATGTTAGTCTTATAGACTGATTTAATACTGATTGCCTTAGCTGAAATACTGGCCAGGCATCTTTAACCTGGTATAAATAGAATAAATTGGAAAAATTCTGGAGGAATAGTCTGTAAATTATATAAAGACACACACTTTCATATTTTCTGTAGTAGCTATAATTTCTATGTGCGTGGGAGTATGAGAGCCTTCCAAAACAAGATCTTCAAAGCCTGACCCATTAAAGCACGTTTTCCTGTGTGTAATCTCATTGCTTTTGTAGGTGGTTTCTTTTTTTAATTTTATATAGTCTTTTATATTCCTATTGTAATTGTCATACTTCCAGCAGTATATTAGGCAATAGATAATCTGATTGACAATCTGTCAGACATTAGCCTCTGGAGTTACTGTTTCTTTTAAAATGTGAAGAAAATGGAGACTCTCCTCAGGAAGGTACTCAAGAAAAATGAAAGATATTTATAGGATAGTTATTTTATTTGTAATGAAGTTGAAGCTTGGTGAAACAAAACTGATCAATAAAGATAGTTATACACAGGTGCATGTATTTGCCTCAGTAGGAGTTGTGTACAATGAAGGAATGTCTATACTGAAAAACGCATTGTGATGTAAACTAAGAGGACAAAGATAATCTTAAGTTAAATTCAAGTTGACAGATGCATACCTTCCTAAGCAGAGATTTCATAGGAGTAGATTTTCATTAGGCAGTTCTGGATTGATAAACAGAAACAAAGAGGACCTGCTGGAACTTAATGAACATTTTTGTGATTTCCTGTTACATCATGTGTTAAGCAAGTTTTCAAAGCATAGTTGAGATCAATATGTTATGTAAGAAGCACAGAACATATTTTTTAGAGAAATAATGCATAAATTGCTTATGGAACTACACGTGCAACAGAATTGTATTTTTCTAACGTCTGTCCACAAAGGATTATGAACAGATGTTTGAATATGAGATGGAGAGTATACAGGTCTTCTCAAAAGTTTCTTTGAAACATGAAAGTTGGTTTTTGAATTTCACTTCGGCCTTTCTGGGAATTTTTTTTTGCAGAGCACTGTAGTTCTAAATATGACATTCTACACCTGAATTACCAAGTATTGGTCAACTGCCATGTAGGAAGACCATTTATGTTTCTTGTATGTAGTAACACTATCCAAGAGAACAGTTATCTTGATACAGGCTGGATTATTGACTATATTAGGTCCTGTTGTAACATAAAGATGGAGCAACCTGCAACCAGGCATATAGAGCACATATTAGCAGCTGAGGCAATCTTATTGCATTACTAAGCAATGCATTTCTTTCCTGGGATTTATAACATTGCTACCAGGATCTCCATCCCCATCTTTTGTTTAAATCTATGCTGTTGTGATGGCCTTCATATATGATACAGCACTTAAAATATCAGTCATTTTATAGAAATCCCTGTTCACCTGTGCAGGTAAGGGGTTCATGCTTTGAGTCACCAGTAGTCTTTCATCCCTTTAGAATGCTGTTAAGCACTGTGTGAAGGGATGATTGGTCGTAAGGATGAAGGGCAAATTTTCCATCTACAGTCTTTCACAAGGACATTATTGCCCACAATCTTTAAATTCAGATATCTGCCCAGTTCAATAACAGACTTTCATATAAGTCAAGCTATTCATCTCCTGAGTCTCCTTCCTAAAACACACACAATACTCTTCACAAAATAAAACTTTGTAAGTGCAAGTGGCAATGACATTATCCTTTCATTTAGACATTTCATTTCCTTTCATTTAACTAAATTGTTAAGACCTAAATTGACTTTTTGTGGCATTGCTTCAAGGACTAGGAGACCCAGAGATCATTCAAGTGGATTTCAGATGTGTAAACCCTGCTTAAGAATTGAAGAGAAAATAATGTTTTTCTCCAGGCTTGTTCCACTTTGTCAGACAGAAACAGCATGATGTTTCCTGCATGTACATTTTCTAATCACTTCCTAATTGTACTTCCAATTCAGACACTAATTTTAAGAGGGCTATTTGGATACTAATTTTAACAGGGCTATCTTGAAATTTCTTTTGCCACCTCCAGCTAATTAGGTTACTGTCTATTAGTCTCCAGCATAGAATCTAATTGGATCATCACTGGAGAAAACTATTTATAAATTACCATTGTGGTTTGTCAAAATGTGCTCAATCAAATTCTTTGACTCTCTCTCTATCTCTTATTCCAAATCTTAGCTCTTGTGGTCAAGATACCAAATCCTGGTTTAAGCAGCTGTGACATTTTTGTCCTATAGTGAGTCCAGAGCTGGCTGCAATAAAGTAGAATTCAAAAAATTTTGTTTGGCATTTGAAAAAAAGCTGACTCATTGAGACTGGACACTTTTTTGTCATCATAGTATGGCCCAGGACCTGACTTTCATCTCCTTCCCTTCCTTTAAGTCCTTGCATCTGGACATAAATGGGTGGAATTTTTCTGGTGAAGATTTTTTTTTTTATTTTTTCTTATTTTTGGGGTGGTTTTCCTTGATTCTATTTTTTGTTATTGGTTTCTTAACTTTTTTGAGTCTTAAGATTGTCCTAAGTGGACTGTCTGTTTAACTTCAGTACTTTCTTAGAGCATCATACCTTCTCATCTTGCTTTTTTTTTTCCTCTGCCCTCTGTTTTTAAACTGTGTCTGTTTCCTCTCTGGCTTTGCTTTCATCCAGTCTTTTGCATCCGCTTCTCTCTCTCTGAAATGGTCCTTCTCCATGTCTCCAGCAACTTAAGCAACATCAGTAACAATTGGAAAACGGTTCTGTTTCTGAGATCTGTAGAGTAGTCATCTGAAACTACATGCATGTAGAGGATTATTCAGAGGTTTTCAGAGAAGGAATTGTGGTTCTCACAATTCTGCACTGTTGTGGGAACTCCTGTGCACCTCCTACAAGTTACCTAAGCATGTGGGAAGACACTTCCTGACGTTACCTACTGGTGAAGGAGCAGGTGGACTGTCACTAGGATACAGGAACGTTACTTTTCATAAGTGGAGATCACTTGACATGTGTTACCCAGGTGTGCATGCGCTGTCCATCCTCTTTTCTCTCTTCTTTATTCCATTAAAAAGGTCAGATTCTGGGGGTAGGGTACCTGAAGGACATGTAGATTGTGTCCATTGATGTCTCTAAATGCAGCAGAGTGCATAAATACTCATGTCTTTTGATATATGGATACTTTCAGTAAATGGGCGATATATCTTAAGGAACCTCCAGTTATAGGTAAGTAACCTTCCTTTACTGGAATGAGGAAGAGCTGGTTGAGTTATCACTTACTTTTGTTAAAGACACAGTTCTATCTGTTCTCCACACATTTTTTTAATAGGCTGAAACTTGCTGACAAGTAGCACAAACTTAGAAACGTTACTTTTCGTTCTGAGAGTGAAGGGAAAACTACATCATCTCCATTTTGTTTGTATTGATCACTGGCTAATGATGAATGTTTTAAGTAGTAACCATGGTGTAATAGACTTCAGAAGTTTAGCTTTATGGAGTGGAATGCAAGAGAACATTGCTGGGTGCTGCTCTGCAGCCAGGTGATGAACATCTGAGCATTCTTTGTCATCAAAGGAATGGCTTTTTGAACCTTGGATAGACAAACCATGACATTTTCAATGCTCTGCTTTACATAGTAAGCTTGTTATTTTGCTATTCTTTGTATTTATAAATTACTTGTATTTTAACGTATTCTATTCTTCTTGTGACTCTAGCTCCTGCTTCTTTAGAATCTTCAAGCAGTATAGAACAGGAAAAATACCTACAAGCCTTACTGAATGTGATATCCGTCCACTGCAAAATGAATGGCAGTAATACTCTCACTGTTAGACCAACAATTGCTCTCTCTCCAGGTAAAATTGGTTTTTATAGTGCTTTTCAATGGCTAAGTTGAAAAGTGAGTTTTCTCTGATTTGGTGTTAGTTCAATTTGTCCCATACGAATTCTGTTGTTTCTTTATTGTTGCACTTTCCAGATAGCTTATTCACTCTTAGTTTCAGTGAATGTGTTTTCCGTATGTAAAGGATGTTTATAATCTTTTCCAAAATATTTTTCAGTATTCTTAATCTGACAATAAGCGATTATTCACCTGTGGGTCATAGTTTTTGATTAAATTCACTTGAGTATGATGGGCCAATTGTGAGGCATTAGTAATTTATTATGATTTGGGAACAAATAAAATAAAGTTCTCCAGAATATCAAGATGCCAAATCTTTCCAGGTTTTTCTTTATATCAAATGCAACAATTACATTATATAACAGAATCAAAAGCAAAGATCCACTTTAAAGTCTTTTATAACTAATTAAGCATATTGAAAACTGTATATTGAATAAGATACTGCCAAATTGAAGAGAATGCGAAATACTACTCTATTTCATATAATGAGAAAATACAAGATTGCAAGCTCAGATTCTATATGAACAGATGCACTATTAAGCTACAGCAGCAATGGCAGGTATATAGGCATTTTCATGTGTGTTACATACTCATAATGGGCTTTTAATGTCAGTTCCACGTAGAGCTTTACTTGCAGTGAAAACTCTTTCAAAATATACTGTTTGAATTATGCATATGTGGAACCATGAAGAAATGAATCCATGTTTTATTTCAGTTATTTTGTGATGCAACCTGGTAAGGTTTATGTGAAGATAATGTCTTAGAAAGAGGAGTATGTGACTTGAAATTGTGTCTGTCTTGTCTTATCCAGGTGATTGGCCTAATATAGCCAAACAGTGGCTTTACTTGTAAAATAACACCATTCCCAAAGTGTGCATGCTTTGCTTCATTTATTGTAAAATATGTTGATTGCTTAGTTGTATCTAACATCTCCATACTGTTGCCAATGTATACATGTGCCTTAAAAAATAAATCTGAAGTACAATTGGCAAGAATTAGCTGTATTGTGTGAAAAAGGGCATTTTTTTCAGTTATGTTAAGTGTTAGTCTGAGTAACACTGTAGGTTTTTTAATCTTCTATTCTTTTTTTGGCTGACTTTAGGCACTGAAAGGAGGGCTTCAAGAATGTCTACTGTGTTTAAGCAGGTAGTGCCAGGACATTTGGATGTAAATCTATCCAATAGCTTTGCTCGAGGAGGTTAGTAAGACTAGCTCAAAGTCTATTATTTGAAATAATAAATGATAACAAAATGTTAGTAAAATAAAAATAATTACACTGCTTACCAATTCATTACTCTATGAAAAAACAAAACAAATTACAGATTAGCCTCAGTCTGTAACATTATTTAAGTATCTAATTTCTGTTTAAGTCCTTTACTTACCATTGAAATAAAGCTTGTTTCGTGTTGGAAATTAGTGGAAAATTAAGCACTGGTTTAGGAATTATGTTTCTAACTACTTTGTGATTCATCCATATTTTTAATTTGTCTAAAATGTATGGCCTGAAAATGCATATCTTATATTAGGATGGAATGCACTTTAGAATCTCAATTACAGATCATTCCAGCATTTGGCTGAAGATTAGCTGATGCTTCATAAAGTTACAAATAATCTATCTGAAAATTTTACTCTAGGTAAAGGAGGGAGTTATGTTGCCAGGCTGTAAGAAGTAGGGAGATACAGTGCCTTCTTTGGAAATTGTTATTCTTAGGTACAAGGGCTCATCAGTGTCATTTCTACAAGAAACTTTCATTCTGTGAAGTGGATTCCAACTACTTTTACCCTTCTAGTCTGATGAAATTGTTATGATTTTTTTATGTACAATACATGCATAAATTAGTGCATCAAATTCCTTAAATATGTGTTTGTTAGGATAGGGATGAATCTATTTTCCAAAAGGAAGCATTTTATATTTCATTAATTACCTTTTAGCCCTGAAGGCTGCTCTTACAATTATTTCTAAGCATCCAAAAGTTGCTTTTCTTCCTTTTTGACTCCTTCCAGCTTTGTGAGCAGTGCATTAACCATCTTGCAGCAAATGCAGCTCAGATTTTCAGAGGTGGGAGTGAGAAAGGCCGAAAGATCTAAAATTAGTTAGACCTACTTTGACCTGCTGAGGTCCATTCCAACCTAAATTATTGTGTGATAGAAAAACTGTAGCTTCATATGTGGAAGAATAAAACAATTTTGTAGAGAAAAACTTTCAAAAGAGATGGACAGGATTAGAGAAATGAAGGAAGGAAGAAAGCAGGAGGGAGGGAGAAAGGGAAGAGGAAAGGAAAATACTCAGAGCTGTATACAGAAGTTATGTGAGAAGTGTAGCAGAAGGGAAGAGAGGAAGGGCATTTAAATGGTGATCATCAAAGAATGGAAAATTTTGTGCATTTTCATTAATCATAGTATATGCAGATTTCATATCTAGAAGTTCTGTTTATGCTCTCTGCTCACTGTCTTGTTATTGTAGTACATGGAGATGAAAAAACATAGTGATTTTAATTGGATAGGTAAAATGGCTAGGCACCTAAGAGAACAGGAGTTAATAGTGTCTGGAATTGTTAGGTAAATTGGTGGCTGTGCCCAGCTTGACTTTGTACTGAAATAGTGAAAATGCTGAGTAGCTGACAGCAGACGTTTGGTTGTATTCCATCCTCTTGTGTTGGGACAAAAGTGCCAACAGTGAAGTGGTGCTGAGGGGCAGTGAAGGTGCTTCAGATAAGTAAGGGAAAGTTTGCTGGTTGATTGTATGGAAGTTGTCTTTTGAAGATAAAAGGATTACTGAAATAACTATTGCTGGTTTCTGGGGTTAGAGTTTGTGGTAAGTGTGATAAGATGAGTTTGTTGCTACTCAGTGAAGAAAAAAGGAGGCTCAAGGCAGTATTAGGTCACAGATGTGTTGTTTTGTTGGATGTTGAAGTCTCTTGGCTAAATTTCAGCAGTAATCAGGAAGAGGGCAGAGAAGTTATCTTGTGTCTTGCTGGATTGATGCCACACCTGCTCTATATATCTGAAAGGTGTAATTACAGCCCAGTATCTGCACTCTATTCACAGTCATAAGAATGTTTGACAAGTACAATGGGAGCCCTAGTGAAGGTGAGAAGTTGACAGGGTAAGAGAGAACAGGGAAAGGGAGTATCTCCCTGTAAAGAAGTAAACGCTAATTTTTTTAGATTACCTAACAGAATTCTTTTAGAAGAAACTCTAAAATACACAAAGTATATAGAATCTCTAAAATTGTTGTTCTCAAATAAATTGATTCACATTATTTATTATTGCAAAGTTTAAAAAAAAAAAGACAATGGGGTTAGCTATTTGCTTTATCATAGCAAGCAGCTATGGATTATGATCAACACTGTACAAAATACAATAGCACTTATTTTTGTGGTTTTGATTCTGGATCCCTCTTTCTTTGCTTGTTTTTATTCTCTCACATACCAGGGCTCAAAAGCCAGGTTCAGCTATGATACACCAATTGAAAATGACATTTTATATTTTTTGTGCCAGACAATGTATTTTTAATACACATCCTTTTAAAATTCAAGTTAAAAGATATGTGCCCGTGCTTGAATAGTATTTCTCATTTTTAAAAATCATCATTGTTCTGAATACTCATCAATTGTCCTGAATATTCGTGTCCTTGTCAGGTACAGTTTTTTACTTTATCTGGAACATTTTAACAAAGTAGTTGCCTAAAGCCCAGTTAAGTTTTTTCTGATCTTAAATATTTGGCCAAATACTTATATTTCATAATATATTTTCATTCTTGGACCCTTTTTTTGGCAATAGCTTGGTTGATATCTTTCATAAGAATTGTAAGTTCACTCAAAATACATACCTTTTCTTCTTATATTACTTTATAAGTATAGTGTGGTTCTACAGAACAGCACTTCTTACCTGGCATTGTTGTGTAATTTAGTAGAATAAAATGTTTTCTCAGTATGATTTGCTGCTGTTGGAAAAATACTAGGATATTTATAATTAATAAATACAGACTCAGCTCAGACATTTATTTTAAAAGCAGGAGACATTAATACTTCGAGTATGTTTTAATAGAATATTTGTATTAAAAGAAGTTGCTTGTGTTGATGTGGCTTTTGAGCAAAAAATACACCCTCTGATAGCATATAAGGCTCCCACTGAAAATGTGAATTTTTGCAAGGGGGGTGGAAATCTCTTTGTGTGATGGATGTTACATGTTTTCTAAATCACATACTTCTACACAGTCCTTTAAAAATGTTTGTAGGTTGTATAGAACTAACATCTTGCACTCTGATTTGATTTTGAGGTCCATCAAATTATGTACCTAAAATAGACTAAAACAGTTTTTAAAAAAAGCACTAAGGTTTGGGATTTTTAATTAAGCTAACTTTCAGCTGGATAGAAGCTTTCAATAAAGTATTCAGCAGAATGATTTAATCGTTACATTTCCTTCGGTATTGTAATTATGGAAAAATACATGATGGCTGTGCTACATGTTTGAAACTATTGCAATGACAATGAAAATTACTCCTTTTTGATAAATGGGTACTTCCTTCCCATTTTATATTGGTTTTCTGGCTTGATTGATGTTTTGTCTTGTGATGACTAAGATTTGTGCTGTCTGATAAATCATGCGCTATACAGAAATTCAATATATACTAGATCTTTGGAAATTAATAAGTAACCCTTTTCTTTTCTCCTGCAATGTGTCTCGCTGCAATGTGCATTCCATTCCTCCTCCTTCTGTCTTAACTGTTATCTACCAGTGCTTGGGTACAGAGATAAATGTTTCACTCATTCAAATTCCAAATCAGCAACTAAGGGAAGAGTCCACCAAGGTACTGTATTCTGTGTCCTGAAAGCACATTCTTTTCTACCATCTCCATAACTACTACAATATCTTAATACACGCGAAGGTGATACTGACAGAAAGCCTTGATTCTGCATTAACAAAATTTTGGTTTTTTAGTTCAGTGTTGTGGTTTTGTTTTGTTTGGGGTTTTTTTGGCCATTGAATGTATGATACAGTGACAGTGATCAGCCGTGTTATTCCTTAATAATGTTAAGATCTAATGCGGAGTGATACATAGAAAATTTTCTGTGTGAAAATTTTAAACAGCAGAAAATTAATTCTGCAAAAGAGCATTTAGTACTGCTACTGCTTTAGTAAAATAGCTAAGAAATACTGTTACATAGTCAATGAACTTTCTTTCCAAAATTATTGTTAACGTTAGTGAACAGGGAAAAATTTATTTCCGCCAAATTAGAAAGTCATAATAATATGATACATGCCAAATAATGAAAGCTAGATACTGCTAACAAAAAATAAGGCAAAAAATACTAGGCAAAATTAGAATAGAAATATAATAGAAATATAATTGTGTCTTTTAATCACTGTTATCTATCACTGGTAAACACGTTCATCTGCATTTATTTGTAACCAGTTTTGTTGCTTTTAATGTTCTACAGGCGCTAATGATGGCCTGCATTTGTAAAATGTTAGAAAGTGTGACTGTGTATTTTTGTGTATATCATCTTTGGGGACAGTTGTCTGTGTTGGAGCTAGCATTTTTTCATACCAAATGAACAAGAAATTATTTATCTTATTAAATGCTTGCTGTGATTTCTGCTTGTCTTCATTATTTCATCTGTAGTAGTTCAGATGTGGAACAAAAATTTATACTAAACATACTACTTTTCTGTGTGAGGTATTTTATAAAACTGGCTGGTTTTGAAGTGGAAACTGTTTAGAACTGTTACCAATTCGTAAGTTCCTAGCCAACCATTGTCAGTTACGCCTATTCATTTGCTCACATCTAAGACTAGCAGCCAGACAGGCAGACAAGCTAAACTGTACAGACAAGTCCCTGTTGAGGATTACTGTACAAAATTATTCTTTAATAGAAACATAATCCTGCTTCTAAAAAATAGAATAAAATTATTTTGCTGGTTGAGCTATCTCAGTGGAATTTTGCTGTTATATGCAGCTTTTTTCTTCTGTGCAAGAAATGTTAACTATGCATATTATTGGATTTTACTGAAGGGGTTGGAGGATTTTTTTGGTACTGTATATCTAAATTTCTACAACTACGAGGTATTTCTGGTGCCTCTTTTGGATATCTTGCTTCACAGATTTATGGACAAGAGTCTCTTCTGATAATCTGATTTACTGCATGTTGGGTTAAAGAATTTCACACTGCCATTTGAATGCCAAATTTAGTATGCTTCAAGGGATTTGATTTTCAAGTAGTGCTATTTATATTCTGAAAATCAAGTACCTTTCACATACCTCACATTGGACACACAAAAACAGTCTCACAAAATCATTGTTACTAACTAAGGCACAAGAAACAAAAATATTTACTACTTGTCTTTTCTTCTGCTGGTGCTAAACAGGCCTTGGCAATCTGGTTTATCACTACTTTATCTTACGTTGAAATCATGAATCTTACTTAAGCATGATCAGATCAGAGCATGTCTGTGTGCTGTAGGAATTTCTTTCTCTGGAAATGACAATATAGCTGCATCAGCAAGGCACAGTACGCAAGCTAAAAATGCTATTGAGAGGTAGAGCTTATTAGGTTGGTAGAATGCCCTTCAAATATCGCTGTGCTGCTTTCAGATGCAAGTCTGTGGTTCCACGTCACACTGCACTGTTTCAAGCTCATGTTTTTGCTAGCTTTGGGATTTCTGTACCATGCCCTGCTGCCAGAATAATGGTGATCTCACTGCCAGATTAAAACTGTAAGACTGTGATCTTCTAGGCATCCTTCTCTCTACTCACACAACTGTACCATAGTCACATCTGCTAGAATATAGTCGTGAAACACGTGATTAAAAGAAGAACTTCCTTCAATTCATTTTCATTTCTAATTGTTCATTATACATGGACAATTAAAAACTAAAATTCATGTCATTCTGCGTTTTAATCATGGCATTTCAAGAGTAAATATGGAATACTTTATCCTTGAAATGTAATATTTGAATCGGTCATCCTTACATACATTTTCATTATAATACAATATGGTTGATACTATTACATTGTGTAGGGCGAAAGGAACAGAAGCATTCTAGGTAACAGGGAATTTTAAGTGATACTAATTCCGTTTTTGAATAAAGTAATTATGTAATATTCTTACTAGATAGACTTCAAAAATAATATGCCTTTGACAAGGAAATACATCAAATTTTTGTCCCCACTTCTGAAAAGAACAACGCTAGCAATTTCATTTCCATACACTTAAATGCACATTAATTACTTGGAAGTTGTGATTCATTTTATCATTGTATTACTGATATCATAGCAACCATTTTCTCTACAATAGGAAGTGCTGTGCAGAGTTTGATTAGTATCTTAGGTTAAATGACAATGCAGTAGGATGCTTTTGACAATTTTTGTTATGAAAATATTTCTTTCCAGTATGTGCTGTTAATTATGCCCTATGAGGGATGCAAATGACATGTTTAAGCACTCTACTTCCCAAATTGTGTTTTAGCATATGCCTTAATAATTATGATCTCCAATGCCTCATGGAAAGAGGTTTTTAAATATTTTTCATCTTTATGAAGGTGTATGGGCAAGTCTTCGTTCAAGCAACCGATTTATCAACACTCAGACTCCATTCATTGATGTTGGTGCAAGACTTGCAGGGAAAGATAACACCACTTCCTACAGTAGCAGCACTTTTCTGCAAAGTCAGCTTTTGAGACGGCAAGCAGCCCTCTATATATTTGGAGAAAAATCTCAGTTACGGGTAATGGCAATTTTTTTTTTTTTTATGTTAACATAGATTTTATTTGGCTTGAGTTTAATAACCCTAATGTTTTTACAAAACAGTAAATAATATTCTAAATAAGGCGGATGGATAACTCTCCTAAAGGTGTAAACTCTTACGAGGATTATTCGTATACACAGCATAACAATTAATGCTGTATAATTCAGTGGGGGCTGGGGGTGAAAATCAAGCTCTGTGGTTATATAATACAACAAAGTTAACATAAATTAAAATATACTAAATTACCTTAAAGAGCAGTTAAAGATCAGGCTCAAACTCACAAAAGTTCTGTGAGTAGTGCCCTGTTTGTCACTTTTGGTCAAGTGCTGATGTGTAGTAGAGCTAAGAGATACAAAGGTAACATATGACTAGAGGAATGGAATAGCTTTTGTACGAGGTAAGAGCATTCAAATTGGGAAAGACATGGCTAGGAAGGAAGTACATTGCTAGGCCACAGAGCATCCAGCAAAGCCTTCATATTCGGAAGTCACTGTGTCTTCGCTGTCTCAATTGTCTCCCTGCATTGGCTTTGCAGGGAGCAAGGGCAGCAGAGTTTGGCTCTGCTCAGTATAGCTGCTGGCGTAAAGATGAATGATGGGACTGTAGGCAAATGGAGTGGGGCCAGTGAAGCAGCAGTGGAGCTTGCTGCCCCTTTCAGAGACAGTTCAGAGCTATTCCAAGGGAAGTGCTATAGTTCTGTATCTGTAAGATCTTGCTTTCAGTGCCATGCTTACTTACAACCTAAATACATACTACTGTACTTTGATTCTACTGAATACTCATCTAATGTTCAGCTGAGTCGTCATCTCAGTGATTTGTATTTTGGGAAACATGAAACAGACTTATTTGGTAACTTAAAGTGCAATTTTATTTTTCCTGATGTGTTGAAATATGTTATGAAGCAAATGGAATGTTGTTAGTCAGGAAAGCGATTACCAGAGAAGAAAACCTTCGTTACTATGGGCAGCACTTAAACTCACATGAAGCCAAATTGATGTGAATAAGGCCAGCCCAGAAGTCTGTCCATCCCGATTTGATTACATGAAGAGGACCGTGATGTCTACAGTTTCATACACCTTTTTGGATAGATTTTAATATTGTAGATGCAGTTGTTTAAGAAACAGGTATCCTCTACATTAATTCTTGGCAGTTTTACTTTTTTCCAGAAAATGTTTGCAGATTTTTTTTTTTAAATCTCTGCATTCAAAGATTGAAAAATCAGTTGGTTTCTACTTTCTTATTTGAAATGTGAGCATACATAAAATATTATGTGTTTTTTGAAATATGTAACTTCCAAAAGCAGTTATTGATAGTAAGAAACTACATCAGTATTCAATTCTTTCTGAAATCATGTTATATCAGGAGATGAAAGAATCGTGCTGTATCAGAATGATGAATCAAAATTCTTTGCAAATTTTGTTTCTATTTTGACTTTTCTTTGCAATTTCAAATGTTCTTTTATATCTTATTTGTATTTTCAGTTGTATTTTTAAATGATGATTATATAACAGGTATTAGTTCTTATTCCATTTTTATTTTGTCTTTTATAATTGGTTTGCAAATTCATTTTCGTTTTGGTTTCTTCATTACACATTGGTACACAAAGTAGTCATTTTTAATTAGTTAGATTTTATTTGACATTCTATCACTTTCTAATACAATTAGCATAACAATAATTTACAGAAATATCTCTGAGCATTTCTAAGGAAAAGTGTATTGTATCAGCAAATATAAGAATAAAATCGCATAGTGATTAAGTGATTGTTTCGAACCTTCTCTCATTGATTTGTATCTAGTTTATAAGAGCAATTCAACTTTTGTTTTTGTATAAAGAAATCTTCTTGATTTTTGATTGTGAAGTATTTTCCTAGCTTTTGTTAGCATCCTGCTAACTTAGAATTTGCTGCCTTTGTAAAGGGCTTGGCAGAGCATGCATTACAGATTGATAAGGATCTGCTTTATTCTGCTAAATATCATGTCTCATAAATTGATGATACAAACAGAAATATATAACATTTTATGGAAATTGTGCTACTTTTCTCAATTGCTTTTGTCATACATTATTACAACTTAGCATTCTAAAAAAGCAAATTTGCTAGTTGAGCTATTGAATTTATTTTTGAACCATGCCAAAATATAAACAGAACTAAATCTGGGCCTTCACTTTCCTACATTTTCGCTTGGCATCCTATGAAGCAGCTTAATGAAGATTATATGCAGGCCAAGTTTAATTCCATGAAAGAGCTATTTCTGAAGAAAACTGAAAAAGTTTGCTGTAAAGATCTTCAGTGGTGCTTCCTACATGGGAAGTGTTTTTCCTAATGTTCTCCATATTATTCTTTTCATCATAGTTCTTTTTTTTTTCAGTTAGCTAACTTGATTTCTTAATTCAGTCCTCCTCTCTTACTGCTCTTTTTATAAATGCAGTAAGTAAAACAAAACGTGACAAATTCTGCTAGGAAAACCTCACATAGCTCTTGGAAATTATATCAGGTATTCCCTGAGTGCTCTTCTGTGTTGAACTAGCTACTTTAGAAAAACAACTGTCTCAATGTGCAGTGACCACTTAGATGAGTCAGCTAGTTTGCAGTTTTGGGTGTTCTTTTTGGATTTGGGGGTTACTTTTTTTCTGCTTTATTGAACTACTAGAATCTGTCCTGCACTGTTGGTATGTCATCCATACAGTTATTTTAATTTTTATTTATTTATTGTTAATTTGTTTTAAAAATCCTAAAGGAAGCACATTATGTTGTGTATAAAGAACTCAACAGATTTATCACTCAACTTTGGTTTTTTACTATTATTTACTAATTATTTACTATAATTTACTAATTATACTATTATT